GGCTGGGGAGGGTTCATGTGTTTGGGGGCTCTCAGCAGCCCTGGGGACCAGGGTCCAGTTCTGATTGGAGCCTTCACCCACACAGCGTGCTTTGGGACCCACAGGGACTTGGGGGCCGAAGTGCCTGCATCTGTCAGTCACCCCCCTCAGTCCTGCAGCTGCTCCCCGCTGAGCTCGGGGGGCTCGCTCCCCCTAGGGTTTTTTTGGGTTCCCCTCAGCGGACTTGCTTCGGGAACAGTGGGGTTTGCTGTCAGCCACCGCCTGGCCCTGATTCCAACGCCTCCGAGGCTAGGCCCCTCCATGAGGGTCCAGGGAGGGTGGGGGGGAGGTAGGAGGAGACGCAGGCATGTCCAGCAGCACCCGCCTGTCTGTGCTTCCCAGGGGCCGTCTGGGAGGGGGGCCCCGCTGGGAACAACTGGCCTGTGGGTTTGGGTCTTTGGACCCAGAGGGCTGGCAGCCCTCACCTGGGCCTCCTCGGAGGAGGCGCCCAGGGGACACCCTGCCTCCCACGGCGCAGCTTGGCCGCGCTCTGCGCTGAGGGCAGCGGGCGTGGGGGGCTCCGTGTGGGCTGTGTGGGGCTGGCGGGGTGCCGGGCAGCTGAGCCTCACACCCTGCACCTCCGGGCACTCCCCACGGGGGACGGCCGTCTCCAGGGACCCCTCGTCCTGCGTCGTGAGGTGGGGCTGAGCTGCAGGAGGCGCTGTGGCCGGCCGGGGCTGGCTGGTCACCTGTCTTCTTTGCACCCTCAGGGGTCGAGGATGCTCTGGAGAGCAGCCTGAGGGCCCGTGGGGGCCGCACCGCCAAGCACGCCCCCGAGCAGCACCCCGTGCCCGTCCGGAGGAGGAAGAGGAGCATCGGTGAGCCAGGGGCCCCAGCCGCTTCCCTCCTTCCTCTCCAAACAAAGGCCCAGCCTGCCAGGGCCCCTCCCTGCCGAGGGTGTCTCCCGCCCGCCCGGAGCCCCTGGAGAGGGAGCCGTCATAAATTCCTGAAGTGCCGGTCTTGTCGGGGCCTGCTCCGGAGGCCGCGCTGGGAGACGCGGGCTCCATTTCCAGCTCATGCGGATCCTGGCTGCTCGGAGGCCCCTCTGCCCCCCCCCCCCCCCCCAGCTCCCGGGCCTCACCTCGCCCCGGCTCTGGGTGTTGGTTCTTGTGTGCCTCACAGAGCAGCCCAGGCTGTGCACTTTGGAGCTCGGAGGGGCTCTGCCCCGTCCTGCCTGGGGCTCGGTCGGTCGGGGCTGTGGGCCCTGCCTGGCCTTGGGCAGGCGACCCCCCCCAGCGTTAGTTTCCTCGGGGGCCTTGTGGGTGTGGCTCTGGCTCAGGTAGCCGGGCCCTCCCCAGTGACAGTCGCTGAGCGGTGACCATGTAGGCCACCTCCTCCCAGCAGCCGGGCTCCCAGGAGGGGTCGGTCCTGTCCAGCCCGGGAGGCCATGAGGGCTGGGCCTGAGGCCTCCTGGCTCCACCCCAGCCCACCGGCCAGGCTCCCGGGACCCTCTCCCCAGTGGTGTTGGGAGTGCAGGCTTCCCTTGGGACAGCCATTGGGTGGCTTATTCTCGGGGCGCAGGTCCCTGCTGGGGCCCCCAGGCTCCCCGAGGTCCTCCCGCCCGTGTGAGGCGGGTGTGGCAGCTGGCACGGTTGGAGGCAGAGGATGGTCCATCTGCAGGGCAGCGAGCACCCCTCCATGCCGGCTGCTGGGCTGTGCATGCCGGGGTGTGCGAGGGGGCGCGGGGAGGCGGCTGCGGGGAGGGGGGGTGGCGGGGGGAGGTTGCAGACCCTGCTGGCTGGGCTCCCCGGGCACATGTCTGGGGCCTGGGGTGGGTTTCTCGTCTGTCGGTCTCACCTGGTATCCTGTCCGTGAGGCTTTGGGCTGGACTGTGGGCCGTGGGAGGCGCACGGAGCAGAAAGACCTGGGTCCTCCTGGGGGCTCAGGGACTGAGTGTCCAGCCTGGCTCGTCCCGTGTCCCTTCCTGCTGCTCCGGCATGGGACCCCTCCCTCCCTGTGACCCCTCTGTCCTTCCCCGGGTTCTCCCCTCCTGGGACAGCTCAGCGGCCCCCTGGGGTGTGGGGACCCTGGGGCTGTGACACGTGTCCATTGGAGGAAGCAGCAGCCCCGGGCGGGGGGCGGAGTCAGTGGACAGGGGGCGGGGTCAGGGACAAGCATGCCCTCCACGTGGGCTCACCAGCCTCTCCCTCCGCAGAGGAGGCCGTGCCTGCCGTCTGTAAGACCAGGACGGTCATCTACGAGATACCTCGGAGCCAGGTGGACCCCACATCCGCCAACTTCCTGATCTGGCCGCCGTGCGTGGAGGTGAAGCGCTGCACCGGCTGCTGCAACACGAGCAGCGTCAAGTGCCAGCCGTCCCGCGTGCACCACCGCAGCGTCAAGGTGAGCCACGCCACGGCCGCCCCGAGGCCCCCGCGGCCTCCCCTCGGCCCCACCGCCTCCCCGCAGCACCCACCGCCTCCCCCCAGCACCCACCCCGCGGCAACCACGGCCTCCCCGTGGCACCCACAGCACCCACAGCCTCCACACGGCCCCCACGGCCTCCCCGTGGCACCCACAGCACCCACAGCCTCCACACGGCCCCTGGAGGCAGGGCTGTACAGCCACGGTCCGTCTCCTGCTCCGGGCAGGTGTGGGGTCCCTGCACGACAGGAAACAGTGCGTCCTCGGGGACCCTAAAGCCTCTCCCCAGGACACGGGGGCAGGAAGGGGCTGCTGGGGTGGCCCCTGGGCATGATGCCTATAAATCGGGGAGAACACCTCCTTACGTGGTGTCGATGGAGTGTGTCTCGGGGGGGTCCTTCTGGGGGTGCTGTTCAGGAGGGACAGGTGCTGGGCTGGCTCACCCTCTCCCTCAGGCTGGGCCAGCCGAGGTGCCCTCAGGGCAGCACTTGGGGGGCCGGGGAGGGGGGGCGGGGGGAGGCAGGAAGGCCACGTAGGAGTTCCTTGTGCCCCCACCTGAGTCCTGGGGGGACATTCTGCTTCTTCAGGTCACTCTGGTGGCCAACGGCTGGCAGCTCCTCTGGGGACCTGGGTCCCCCCTCTGGCCTCACTAACCTCATCTGTAAAATGGGTCTGAAGCCGGGAGCCCCGGGGCGCCTCCTGGCTTCTTGGGGTGAGGCTGAGGCTGTGACACCAGGGCCCCCCCTGGGTGTGGGTCCTTCCTGGGCAGTGGGCCTGCGGGCCCTCCCCCCTTCCGCTGAGCCTCCTGGGCAGGTGCGCCCGCCCTCGTGTGGAAGGGGCCACCGGGTGGTGGCGCTCATTCCTGGTGCCCTGCTGTCCAGCCCCGAGGTCGGCCCTGCCTCCGCCTGAGGCCGGGGGACCTCCTCAGGAGGACCAGGCCTCGCCGGGCGGCTGTCACCAAGAAGGCCCTTTAGACCCACACCTGGGCCTCCGGGCCTTGGGGACCGGGCTCTGCCCGCGAGGAGGCTGAGGAGGCACATTCCATGCCGTGGACCACGGGCAAGGTGCTCCCACGGCCGGGATGCTGGCCGGCGGGCGGGGTCCTGGCTAGGAGGGTCCCAGCTTAGATGCCCGGCAGAGGGAGGGGCGGCAGGGCGGGCGTGAGGGGCCGGCCCTCCCAGGAGGCACGTCTCTGCTGGGGCTCGGGGCGGGGGGTGGAGGGGGACCGGCCTCCCCTCGGCCTTCCTTGCCCCAGCCCCCAGCGGAGTCATGGTCAGCCCGGGGGCGGGGCCTCCATCCGGCAGCTGGTCTGCCCGCGCCCTGCCCTGCCCTGCCCACCCGCGAGGCTGCAGGAAAACATCCGGCCCCGACGCTGGGTCTGGCTGCGGGGACAGAAGGTCAGCGGGAACAGGGGGCCATTGTGAGGGCCGTTCTGGTCCGTGTGGGGGGAGAGCCGGCCCTCGGCCCCGGGGCCGCGTCCCGGAGGGGCTGGGGGCAAGTGGGCGTCCGCGCAGGGCGGCTCCTCCCTGGTTTCTGCCTTCCTGGCCTTTGGGGCCACAAAAGCCCCTTATAGACGGAGATGGCAGCCAGACTGGGCGTGGTCACCCACGGGGGCCACGGAGAGGGAGCGTGGCCGAGCCTGTTCGCTGGCCCCGGGCCCCCCAAGTGGGCAGCCGTGGGCTGGGGTCGGAGGCGGACGTCTCTGAAGAGCAGGTCCTTCCTTGGCCCCCCCTTGTGGCCGGCCCCAGGCCTGTCCCCCAGTCCACGCCTCGGGTCCGGACGGTGGCATGCCTGGTGGCTCAGGCCGTGGCCCGCGCAGGGCCACGGTGGGTCAGGGCGAAGGAGCTGCTGGGAGCCCCTCTCCCGGAGCGAGCTGCAGATCGGGCTCCCGTGTTACCTGAGGCCGCCTGTGGGCACGGACCCAAGTCCTTCAGGAGTGAGCGGGCTGCCCAGGGCGCCAGGCGCTGGGACCTGCTCTGCCTGCTGGACGGTCTGAGGCAGGGCGGTGGGTCCCCCTGTGGTACCTCTGCGTCCTGTGGACGGAGTTAGGGCCCTTGGGGACCTCACAGCTGTGGGTCTAGCTTAGAGCCCGGGTTGAAGGTCTCCAGCAGAGCCTCCAGGGCCTGGTGGGCGGGGATGCCCTGAGCTTGTGTGGGGACAGCCCTAGTGGTCAGGGAGCTGGCCGTGGCCCCGGGCACTGCCCATCAGGCCCAGGAGCCTCTGGGGCTGGCTTTGGTCCTGGGAGGCCGTGGAGCCGGCTGGGATCTGGGGACGCGGTGCCTGGAGCTGCAGGGCCTGGAGCTGTCACACCTGAGGGTACGGGCTTCCTCAGTTAGGACGTCCCCTGGTTAAGGACCAGCTCAGGGCCCTGCTGTTTCCGTCCAGGCCTCCTCCCAGCAAAAGAACAAGCCTCATCTGCTGCCTCAGTTTCCTCATCTGTAAAGTGGTTGCGCCTGAGCCCTCGGTGGCTATGAGCCTTTCAGTGACTCGCCCACGGGGCTCGGCCAGTGCTGGGCGTCACGCAGGGTGCTCTGCCCTGACTCTGTCCGGCAGTCAGGACATAACCCAGTGGCGCCCCCTGCAGGGCGTGGCTCTCCCCTGTGTGGAGGGGGCGGCGTCCCCGCTGGATTCTGGGGTGCATTTGCCTGTGGTTCGTTACCTGGCACCCTCAGCGTGGGGAGCGGCATGTTTGTTTTATGAGGTGCAGCCCAGATGCAAACAAAGGGGGGCGGGAGGAGGGACATGGGGACCCCACGTGGGCTCCAGGGTGGTCTGGGCTGAGGTTACGGGAACGGGGTCCCTAGGGCGTAGATGTCTCGTCCTGTGGGCCTGGCTGGTGTGGAGGATGCTTCTGAGGAGGTAACACTCACAGCACGTTCTCGGGGGAAATGTGCCGTGTCCTGTTGGGGAGCCTGCCCTTTGCCCAGATGCACCTAAAACACGGACTCAGACACCTTCCCTCACCACAGCTCCCCGGTCCTTCTCGCCCCCGCCCAGCTCCCACCTGGAAGCACGGCTCTCAGACCCACTGGCACCCGTGTGGGGTTTACTTTTTATTTTTTATTGATTTCAGAGAGGCAGAGAGAGGGGGAGAGAGATAGAAACAGCCACGATGAGAGAGAATCATGGACCGGCTGCCTCCTGCACACCCCCTACTGGGGATGGAGCCCACAACCCGGGCCTGTGCCCTTGACTGGAATCGAACCTGGGACCCTTCAGGCTGCAGGCCGACCTCTATCCACTGAGCCACACCAGCCAGGCTGTGAGGTTTATTTTAAGGTGAAATGGGACCAGACCACAGACGCTGTCTGGACCTTGTTTTAACTCCTGCCTTCCCGCTGGGAGGAGGTCGGAGGTCAGAGGTCGGAGGAGGACCGCCCGGCTCACACTGGCTCTGTCTCGGCAGGTGGCCAAGGTGGAGTACATCCGGAAGAAGCCAAAGTTAAAAGAAGTGCAGGTGCGGCTGGAGGAGCACCTGGAGTGCACGTGCACGCCCACCGGCCCGAGCCCGGACTTCCGCGAGGAGGAGACGGGTGAGCTGCACCCTCCCGCCTCCCTGTGTCCCTCCCGGGTCCCTCCCGTGTCCCTCCCGTATCCCTCCTCATGTCCCTCCCCGTGTCCCTCCCTGTGTCCCTCCCATGTCCCTCCCCAGGTCCCTCTCCACCCTTCCATTTGTCCCTCCCTGTGTCCCTCCCCATGTCCCTCCCCGTGTCCCTCCCCGTGTCCCTCCCGTGTCCCTCCCCGGGTCCCTCCCCGGGTCCCTCTCCACCCTTCCATTTGTCCCTCCCTGTGTCCCTCCCGTGTCCCTCCCCGTGTCCCTCTCCACCCTTCCCCGTGTCCCTCCCCGTGTCCCTCCCCTGGTTCCTCCCGACCTTCCCCGTGTCCCTCCCCATGTCCCTCCACCCTTCCCCGTGTCCCTCCTCGTGTCCCTCCCCATGTCCCTCCACCCTTTCCGGTGTCCCTCCCTGTGACCCTACCCGGGTCCCTCCCTGTGTCCCTTCCCCGTCCCCCGGCTCTTGGCCTGGCTGCTGGGCTGAGGGGAGCAGGGCTCCGGGGGCCGTGGGATAGGCTGATGTGAGCTCAGTCAGATGCTCGCCGACCAGCCATCTTGTCGGCGGGGATGGCCGAGCTGCGTGGCTCTGGCAGGAGAGGTTCGGGCTGCCGTGAGGGAGTGGGGTGAGCGTCCTAAGTCTCTGGCCCTGGCGGGTCTGCCGGTTGGGTGATTAGGGGAGACCTGTTTGAGGAAGGTCCCATCCTGGTGGGAAGACTGGTGCTGGGCCTCTGGCTGCAGCGTTGTGGGGCGTGGGAGGGGGTCCTGGCCTCCCCTGAGGACAGACTGCCCAGAGCAGCATGGCGGCGTGGCGCCCGGGAGGCCAGGAGGTCTGTGGCCGATGGATCAGGTTTCCTCTGGGCGATGAGCCGCCCGGTGCTCACTGTTCAGTGCCCGCCGCCCCCGAACAGCTCTCTCCCAGGCCACTCACCCTCCCGCCCTTCTGTCAACAGGAAGGCGTAGGGAGGCGGGTAAAAAGCGGAAAAGGAAAAGGTTAAAACCCACCTAAGCAGCCAACCAGGTAGGAGCCGTGGCTGGACAGGCCACGTCCTGTGGGGGAGGCGCGATGGCTGATCACAGGGCTAATCACGCAAGGAGAGGCCGCGCCACGATTGGCCGTGATTGGCCATGATTGATTGGCCGTGATTGGCCGTGATTGGTGTCCAGCTGTGCTGTGGTCTCCTGCTCCCGTCCCCGACGCCTCCCCTCTGGCCACACGGAAGGAAGCCGCATCCACAGCCCTCCTGCCTGGAGGCCTGCCCTGGCTTTAGTCTGTTCCCTGGTTGGGGGCCAGGGCGGCTCCCGAGGGGAGTGATGGGAGCTTCCTGGCCACAGGGTTCCGCTCAGGCCGGTCACGTGCCCATTGGAAAGGTGAGCACACTGAGGCTGAGGCTGCAGGTGAGGGTTGCCGAGGCTGAGGAGGTCTCTGAGGTAGACGTGGGTGCCTCGCGGAGAGACGGAGACAGAGCATGCGAGGTCCTCGGGGTATCAGCAGGGTCCCTCTCTGTCCAGGACTGGTGCTGTCCGTCCTCAGAGGTGCCTCGCGGCCCCAAACGGCTGCTAAAGCTCCAGAGATCACACCCACACTCCTGGCCGGAAGAGCGAGTGAGGCGGGGAGGAGCCTCACTCAGGGGCTCGCTCTGATTGCATGGCCGTCCCTCCGCAGCAAGGGAACCTGGGAAATGGAGTCTTTGCCAGAAGAGAATGGGGTCTGGGCAGCCGGGATCAGCATGGAGGAGGCGGATTCAAGCCTGCCTGGTGTTGGCCTGTTCGGCACAGGGGAGCCTAGTCCTTCCTTGGGCCCGTGGCACCCAAGACCAGTAGTGGGGAGAGGAATCCCCGGAGACAGTGACTGCGGGCAGGAGCTCAGGAGGCCGTGGGCCAGGTGCCCCATGTGGGGTCTCGGGGAGGAAAGGCCCAGGTGTGGTTTGGGGGCCGTCTGAGCCCCGGGCCAGCTGCTGACAGACCCTACTGTGCGAGGCAGGTGCCCTGCATTCGGACTCCGGGCCTGGGGGAGGTACAGGTGCTGGGGTGAGCAGTGGGCAGGTGAGGCAGCTGGGTGAGCTGCTCTGAGCTTGGGGTGCAGTGTAGATGAGCCTGGGCAGAGACCCCTCCTGTCTGGCTGGTGGTGTCGCCCCTCAGCGCTGCCTTACGGCCTGAAGTGGCTGCCAGAGCCCCGGGACCACATCATGCCCTCGCGGAAGAGGAAGGCGAGGAGAGAGACGGAAGGACCTGTTTGGGCCGCGGCTTCCCCCGTGTGTGCAGCGGGAGGAGGGGCTTGCTCTCCAGTCTCTTGTGAGATCCTGAGTGCCTTGTCCCTGCTCTGGTCAGGATGTCCAGAGAGGGTAACGAGCCCGAGGGCGTTTGAAACGCTTCATAAAAACATCAAATGCTGAGACTTGCTGCTGTGTGTGTACACGTGTGCACACGCGTGTGTGTTCAGGGGTGCGTGCCCTCGGCAGGGTTGAGCGTTCCCTCACTGCGTGTGCTCCTGGGCCCGCCCCTCAGTGTCTTTCTCTCCCTCTCCCTGCAGATGTGAGGTGAGGATGAGCTAGCAGCCCTTTCCCGGGACACGGATGTACATGGCGTGTTACATTCCTGAACCTACTATGTACGGTGCTCACTGCCAGCGTGCGGTCTTTGTTCTCCTCCGTGAAAAACTGCCTCCACGCGCTGCACCCTGGAGAACAAAGAGACAGTATACGTTTGTTTAATGTGACATCAAAGCAAGTATTGTAGCACTGGGCGAGCCGGTCAGAGCTTCCTTGTCCGAAACAGAGCGCGCACACAGAACAGACCGGAGCAGCTCCGAACGCTTCGCGCGGGCGGAGGGGCCTGCGGACGGCGGCGGCGGCGGCGCCGCGGAGGGACGTCTGTCCAGGCCACGTGCTTTGCCGAGGACGCGGTGGACCTGCTCTTTCCGAGGACGGGGCGGCCCGGGCACGGACCCCGGAGCTGCTGTGGCGGTCGGAGCGCGTCTCCTTGCTGTAGTGTTTAAGTCTATACGAACTTCCTGAGAGCCTTAAGTGGGTTTCTTTTTTTTACACCATAAAGTGATTATTAAGCTTTCTTTTTACTCTTTGCCTAGCTTTTTTTTTTTTTTTTTTTTTTTTAAATTATCTCCTGGATGGCATTGACACCGGTCACACCAGGCTGCTGTAACCGGTCGGGACAGCGAGACGGTCTCCCTCCGGGCAGGATGCGAACGAATGAGATGTATTAAAATAAACATGGTATACCTGCCTACGCATCACTCCTCGCTGTTTCTGGCTGTCCGTGCATCTGCTCTTTAATCTAAGCCATGCCGAGAGAACTGCGTGAACCAATCAGACGCTGCCCGCCGCCCGTCCCCGCACCCCTGCCCTGGGCGTGGCGGGGGAGGCGGCCCCCCTCCCCCGCTGCCCGTGTCGACACAACCCAAATCCTTTATTTTTGGTAAGATGTTACGCTTTCCATGTACTCCAGAGAAATGTGTGTGTGTTGTTTTCCGTTTTTGTTTTGTAAAGGTGACGTTTGTATTTTTATCTAATATTACCAGTTTTATATACCTGAGAGCCTGTTACGTTCTTTGTTGTTTTTGCTTTTTGTTTTTGTTTTTTTAACCAAAAGGGAAAGAAAAACACCAACAAAACCCATGCACATGACACGCAGTTTGTGATCATGTTTTTCTAGGTGGGCAACCGAGCCCTGGTTTCCTTTCTGGTCCCAGCCGTGGTGGCCCCCGGGGCTCCTGGAGGGGTGAGGGGAGGGAGGTCACAGCCTCTGGGCCCCGGGTGTCCCTGGCTGGCTCCCCCAGCCAGAACCTAGGGTGCAGCCTGCTCTCAGGACCGGAACCTGGCGGGCATGGGCCAGAGGAGCCCCCTCGCCTATGGCCATGGAGATGGAGAGTCCACCCTTCAGAGCAGCCACGTGGGTAGGGAGGTGACGTTCAGAGGTGGGACCTCGCTCCCCATCCCAGCTGCCTGTAGGGTTGTCTTCAGTGTCTGTGTGTGGCAGGGTTTTTATAAAGAAACTAGTGGCCCGGTGCATGGATTCGTGCACATACAAAGGGAATTAGAAGAAATGCGTTAACTTCGCTGTTCACCCTTTCTCTTAACAGAAGTGTCAACCAAATTCACGATCGACAATGACAGATCGAAACTCACGTGTGATTGTCACCAGAGAGAACTTTATATGTATTGCTCATGCACGGGTCAACTTAGCCTTTTATAGATACAGGACAAACTTGCTTAATTAGACCTGCTTTCTGATGCAACTAAACTTTCCAGCCCAGTGAAGCACTCCAACTTCTCTTTCAGGCAATTGTCGGCAGCACAGCAGGAAATATCAACACAAAGCAATTATTGTTGTAGATCACTCAGGGAGAACACAGTGTAGGATATTTTAACTGCAGCAGTGTTGGACTATATTCTGCTCGGTGAGAAAACATGAAGTCATTGTCAAGGCTCACCATTTCTTACTTTTCAGTCGGGTCAAGTTTCTATGCTTTCTAAATCTCCATTTTCCGGCTAATGAAAAGAAAATACGATTCCATTGAGTCTACTGCCTACTCCAGGGCTTCTGTGAGGATCAGATGAGATGAGGGAGGTAAAAAACACTTCACAGACATTTGGTTAAAGTGTAAAATGTTTGCACCTGGCTGTAAAGCAGGCCCAGTTCCTGGGCTGAAGAAACACCAAGGAGGCTAGTCGCTAGGGAGAGGAAGCTGGGCGTTGCTACGTGACATCGTTGCTTGGATGAACACTTAGTACATTAGCCTTTTATATATATAGACTGGAGGCTTGCCAGCCCCGCCCCCTGCTGACCAATCACTCTGCCGTTTGGGCCATTTGCATATTACACTAGTATACTCGGGTTCCTCCAGCACATGTTTTCTCTGTGTGGTTATCTGAACGACGCTCTGGGAGGTTGGGGTGAGGGGGAGGGGTGAGCACGTTGGTGGATCCCCTGTTCTTGCAGGAACCTGGAGGCCGGTCATAGCCTCTGGGCCTGGGGTGTCCCTGGCTGGGTGACCTGCCCAGGCCCCTGCGGGCGCCTCCTCGGTGCTGTGCTCGACCCTGTGCCTGAGGATGTGTCTCATGTTAGATGTATGGACGTGTCATGTATGTGCTTGTTCTGTGAGACGCCGAGGACACGGCTGTTTTCCTTACGTGATGCCAGTGGGTGAATGGTCTGCCCGAAGCCTAGTGTCCTTGGGGAGGAGAAGGTGCCCCTGGGAGAGACAGGTGCCCGTGGAGCGGGTGCCGCCCCTCGCCTGCTGGCTGCCCTCCTGCGCTGGCCGATCCTGGTCGAGCCGCGCCCTCTGCCTGCAGGCTGCCTGCATTCCTGGCATTTCCCAGGCACTGGCAGTGCCAGCCTGGGCTGCACTGGGTGTGGCCAAGCTGGCTTTGCAGCCCAGGAGCCCAGGCCACTCGGGCCTCCGTGTGGGCTGCGCTTGGGCAGAGCGAGGGCCAGCCATGCGGAGGCAGAGGAGGTGGGGCCTGGGGTCTTGAGTTGTCTGCCTCCTGCAGAAGCAGGTCACCCTGCCTCAGAGTGTCCATTCCTCGGTCCGGGGCCAGCCCATGTGCCCATGCACCTGCGTGGAGACCCGTGGTCCCCTGGCCACGCCCTCCTTGCCCATGTGGAGGCTGCCAGGAGCTGGGAGGCCAGGGGCTGGGAGGTCAGGGGCCAGGCGATGGGTCATGTGGGGCGTCTCCCTCGTGCCAGGCCCTGAGCCTGGCGTGGGAGGAAGCAGACTTGACTGAAGAGCTGACAGCCTGGCCCTGGGTCTGCTCAGCCTCACATCCCTCCAAGTCCAGTCTAGGGATGGAGCTGTGCCCTTGGCATGACCTTGACCCTCTTGGGGGACCTGAGCCGAAGAGCAGTGATGGGGTGGGCAGCAGGTGTCTCTGAGGGCCGTTCTGTCTGAGGGGCCCAGCTCCCCGGGGAGGAGCTGGCAGTGCCCTGGGGGATGGGTCTGCCCCTGTGTGATGACTCAGGGACGCAGAGTTCAACCTACAAGGATGTCGATTTGGATGAACCATGACGGTGGAAGGGGCCAGGCAGTGCCCCCACCAGGGTCGCCCGTGTGGGAGGACGCTGTGTCCCCACAGCTGGCCATGCCCGTCTCTGCGTGGCTATGCAGATGCTGGGCCGTGTTTCCTGCACTCTGGCACCCACCCTGAGGATGGAGTTGGGAACCTGGACCTCCTGCTGGTTCTGCCAGCCTCACCCATGGCTGAGAGCAGAGCGAGCACCTCAATGCCCCTGGGCAGGCACGCAGGCGGGTCTGCTGACCCTCAGCCACTTGCTGAGCAGCCAGAGCGGGGAGGAGGAGGCTGGTCCCTGCCCGGGGCTGCCCAGCCTGGGGCATTTCACCATGTAGCCGGTGTGTCTCCTGTGACCTTGGATGACCTTGCCATGTGACCTTAGCGAGTGGGCCATTTCTCTGTGGCTGTGCTGGGAAGGAACCTGGGGGGACTCCTCACCCACCCCTGCCGTCCGAGGGGCGAGGCTCGAGCTGCTCCTTAGACGAGGGGGTGCGAGCCGTGGCTGACGCCAACCCCAGGCCTGAGCCTCACCCAGCGCCCACCCACCTCCGGAGCTTCCCTGACCTTCCTCGGTGCGTGTGGCCGAGGTGAGAGGTGAGCCCGGCGACCCCACGGGAGGATGCAGGCTTTTCCTCGGACGTGGGTCGCCAGGGGCTGCGAAGAGGGCAGCAGGCTGTTTGCTCAGAGCTGGGCCCTCGGGGCCCCTGGGGCCTCGGTCCCCGTTGTTATGACTGCACTGACGTCAGAGTTTCCGGGGCCACCGCTGGCCTTGGAGCCGCTTGTCACCCCACATTCTCCAGGCCCCCCCCTGCACCCCGGCTGCTGCTGAGGCTGGAATCCTCCCCCACACTCCGAGGGGCCTGGGGCGCAGAGCGTGTGGCGTCTTCAGAATAAAACGGTGACTGTTCCCAGCCAGGCCCTTGAGCTGCCAAAAAATGCGGAGCATTCACTGTCTGGGCCCTGGCCTCCGGTCAGTGGGCAGCGTTCCTGGGCGGACGCCCCGCTCGCCGGCCTCACCCGGAGGTGCTCCCTGTCACCGGCTCCTCACGGGAGACTGGGGTGTGGGGGTGGACAGACCGGGGGACAGACCACCCCCCAACTGTCTCAGGCAGACGCGGGCGGAGGGATGCACATGGCCGGCTCTGGGCCTGGGCCATGGAGTTCCTGTCGCCCCCCATCCTCCCCGCCTCGGAGCATGGGCTGTGGGGCCCCTGCCCTGGGGGACTGGGCCCTAAGGCCACCTTGTCAGACCCCATGTCCTGACTGGCAGGAACACACAGCCAGTGGTGCCGCCCTCATCAGCCGCTGGCCCTTGGTGGCCGTGCCCTCTGCAGCTGGGCCATGGAGGCTCTGGGCAGGGAGGGCTCGGGGCCCATCTGGCTCCCGCTGTGCCCACCGCCCAGACTCGTGGCTGGCCCGTGGGCTGCGTGGGCCAGCCTGGGCGGTTCCGTGGGACAAGGGACGGCTTCCCCAGGTGTTGAGGGGCGTCTGCTTGACAGATGGGGCCTTTGCTCG